CACAGGTGGTAAACATACATTGCCATCTCTCTAAAATGGTATCTAGTTCAGGAAAGAGAAATTTTCCCTCTAGAGCAAAACATTATACTCACTCCATGATGAATAATGGAAGAGTGAAGGAGAGTTGTGATCTCTCTGTACCTTTGGTAAAGACAAGGTTGAATGGAAGTTTCTGAGGAGAGTATATTTAGCATAGTACAGTGGGTATAATAGTAGGCTGATAACTTCATAAAGAATTTAGTCAAAATACTGGCTAAATTTATTAAACATAAAAAATACAGTGTGTGTGTGTTGTGTGTTTGTGTGTGTGTATACTAGCAGAGAATAGGTTGTAAATTCTAGTGATTTAAATGCTTCCTGTTTACTCTGGAGGTGTTAAATTGAGTATAACCTCCCCCCCCCAAAAAAAATGATTATTATCTGAAGTAAGATGCTAAAAAATATTTTCAAACTTAATTTTTTTATCCCATCTCTCCTCCTTCCCCAAGAAAGTGGGAAAGTTCAAGTAAGGGAGAATGAGAGTGAGCGTAGGAAGGAAAAAGAGTGGTATTTCCAGTGGGGGTCTTGCTATGTTATGATCCTTCCTACCAGATTCCAGCCAACCAGTACCATAGGCACATACCACTGTGCCTGGTCTGTCCAGGCCAGACTAGGAACTGAATCCTGGACTCCCATGTAGTTCCCAGCCATCATACAGCAGCATCCCCTTGCTTGTGCCACTGTGGCTGCGCTTTTTGTAAATGCCATTGGGCATGTGCACAAGCATGAGAGGAAGAGAATGTGATGCATGCACGCACATTACCACTAACAGGTCACACTGTAATCCTCTAAGCTCCAATTCTTCATCCTGTCAGGACTGGGCATTTATGTGTATGCTGCCACTCTTTCACTTCATTTTTAAGAACACTGGTCAGCCATGTGGGATCCAGTTCCTCTCATAGCACTTAATCACTGCACTATGGGGTCAGCCTTTGTGTCTTTTTAAATAGTGGGCTGCTGAAAAAGTCGTGATGTATTTTTTTCTATGCAAAAATGTATCATGACTTTTCTGACAACCCAACAGAACAATACAAAGGTTTTTTTCTTCTGTTTCCTATCCAGGGTTATCTTACGTGTAAATAGTCTCCAAGATGTAGAGTACTTGACCTAAGAAGCAGACACACACATAAGACAAAATCCCCATTTGTAATTGATTTTTACCTTAGAAAAACGAACATAAGCTAATTTACTTATTTTTTTTTTTTCCTGAGAGGTTTTCTCTATAGGGCGCGTGCGCTCGCCAGACAGAGACATAGAGACAGAAAGAAAGAAATCCACCCCCCAGGGGGGGATGTTCACGTCGCAGCTTCTCCTCCATTCTCCTCTCGGGATCTTGGGTATACATGTACACGCGCCCAGCGTGAGTTCTAAGCCACCAGGTCCGGGACATGAACTGCGGTTGACTAGGTGGGAATCCAGCGACATAGCCATTACGCTAACTGCTGGTTCCCTGATTTTTGTTTTTTATAATATGCATTTTTCGTGAACTTTTTGAAGATCCCCTAGTATGTAATTTATAATATTGGGCCATCTGTATGGCCCAGCCATGATGTATTTTTCTGTTTTTCTATGTGTTCTGACAACCCAATATAAACATATATGGGAAAACACATTAAATGTGGGAGGTTACTATCAAAAAATGTATCCCAAAATTACCTGTTGGGAGAAGCTGTTAAATATACAGATTATCAGAGCCTTCTCCTAGAAGTCCTTATTCTGCTGATCTAAACGGGGGCATAGGAATCAGGTTTATTGTTTTTGTTTTTTCCTTCTGGGCCACCTGGTAGCATGGTGATTAAGGGGACTGGATACCATATGGTCGACTTCTTGGTTTGAGGAAAACAGTGGCTTGAAAAACATACTGGGTGTTTGTGTGTGTGTGTGTGTGTGCGCGCGCGCGCGCGCACTTGCGCACGCACGTGCGCGTGCATGCCTAGAATCCCAAGAGGAGAGTGAAGAAGGGATTGCAGTGTGGCCATTCCCCGGGGGCTGATTTCTTACTTTTCCCTTCTCTTTCTGTTTTTCTCTGGTGAGTGCACATGCCCTCTAGCAAAAATCTTTAAAAACAAAAAAGAAGTTTATTTATTTCTTACAAAGAGACAGCACACCCAGTGGAGTCTTGATGCTGCCATCTATCCCCAGCCAGCCCTGAATCATGAGCACATGTATGCCTGGCGTACTCAGAGAGGTCTCCAGACATGAACCCAGAACCTTCACATGTGAGTTAGCCATGCAGAGTGGTACATTTACTGCCATACCACTGTCCATCCCTGGAATTGATTTTTTAACAAGAGCGCCAAGTAGTTAGTTAGTTAGTTAGTTAGTTGATGGAAGGCCATTTGAACTGTGGTTGACCAAGTAGGACCTGGCTTCCTTAACCACTAGGCTGCAGGGTCAGCCTATTATTTACTTGTTATAACCAGAGGACACATCTGCTTGCCAAGAAGAACAAGGGAGGAATGGAAGAAAGGAGAAGGAAAGCACTACATCAGTGAGGCATGGTCATGCCACAGTTCTTTTCTTTTTCTATTTTTCCATCCCATCAGGCCTTTGGACACACAGTACACACGCTCCTGGCATGATAGTCAAGCTGCTGGCACCAGGATTTGAATCTTGATCATCCATGTAGAATTCGGCTCCTAATGAGCTGTGCTTAAACCACAATGCTTACGGGGCCAGCCTAAGACCTCTTAGCATTCCTCCTTTCAGCCAAGTTTAGGAAACTGTCAGTGTACCATGACTCAGGTGTAAGTCCAGTTCTAGGTCCTGCAGCTCTCATGGTGGTAGCACTGGTGCCTAACCTATGCATAGACAGCTAGGAAGATGGAACAACCAAGGATTAAGCAACTAAGAAGCTCAGTGACCAGGGGGACCAGCATCTAGCTCATCTTACTTCTTGTGCTGTGATTGGACCAGAACCAGCTTATAGTGGTTGCATTTTAAAGGCAATAATATGTATATGTAGGGAGGTTTGAGAATTTGTTTACCTTGGGAGGTTTGGATTGGTGATTACTTTTAATATGAAGCTGATGCCACAGACCATTACCATGTCCCATATGTGTTAAAAAAATCACAGCTGATCAGTAACTTTATATTACTGTATTTTTTAAGGAATGCTTTAATATGCTGACATAAAGAAATTAAAAAAATTTCAACTAAGGCAGTTGGAATATTCTAATATATAAATAAAATATTTATTCAAAATGTTAAAAAAAATACCAGAAGAAATAATAGGTATCATTCATTGAGTGCTTATTGTGTACCAGTCTCTACCCCAACCCCTTTCCAGTACTGTATATTATTATTTGATTTTCACAACAATCCTATGAAGTGCTTTAGTAACCATTTGTAAAGGAATTAGCTGATGGAGCAGAGAGAGGTTGAGTAACTTACCCAATTTTTGTAAGATTTTTCTTTGGTCACTTATTTTAATTTGAGAATAGCTTAAACTTTAAAACATATTTACTTTCTTGGACAATGATTCTTGGACTTATTTGAATGAATGATTCTTTTCTTGAAACATGATTTCTTCTACTATGTTGTTAACTTACAAAACAAAATCTTTTTTGTGGATTTTTAAGTAGGAATGCAAAATGATGTATAAAAATTGTTTTTTAAGTCTAAGATGGACTGTTCAAATGATGGATGAATATGACTATTAAAAGTAAAGTACCTATAGGCACTTTGAATATGTAGTCTGATGATTCATCTGATAGACACAAATTCTGAAGAAATGTAAAGCTTTGTTTCATAATGCTAGTTTTTATTTCTGAAGATATGTAAAGCTTTGTTTGATAATGCTAAGTTTTTAATCTTATTTGATAATGCTAAGTTTTTAATTAATCAGAATTTCCTTCGGGCAATTATGTGTTTCAATTAATGCACAATTAATATTCAAGTGTTTTTACATTGCCAATTTTAATATCTAGTTTTTAAAATATTTTACATTACCAGTTTTAATATTTAGTTTTTTTCTAAGGCTTTAAGCTCAATTTAGTATTTTTTAAGTCAATATATATACTAAGCCTTCAATGAATTTTTTTAAATTGTCAAATTCTTTGAAACATTTTTAAAAAACACACTAACAAATTATATAATGAACCAAAAACGTATAATCCATCAACTAAGAAAATCTTATAAATCTAACTCTAGCAAATCAAATTTATAAATTCAGTAAACCAAATTTTCCTAAATATTGAACATTGTCTCCAAATTGTTACAAATTTCATAAGATAGCAGATTCTCTAAAAATATTCCAAATGTCTTTTTTTAAAAAATTCCAGAAAATGCATAGAAAAATTATCAGTTACTGTCCATCTTATTGTTTAAGGTTTAAGATAAAACTTAATGCATAGTTTTCATATTATAGGCTAGATTTATTTCTTCAATCTGTTATTTCTTCACCCCCAAACTACAAACCTAACTGCCTAAGAATAGGGAATACAAATTCCATCTTCCATCCTTCTACTACAACTTAGACTATATAAAGAGAGGGAACCTATATCTATCTGCCAATGAGACAAATATAACTGAATGTGCTAGAGCCTATATATTGAGCAGGAAATCCTTCCTGTTGTCAGGTTCTTGTCTATCATTGTTAACAGGAACTTTATGAGTCCTTATCATGTAAATTTAAATGAACATTTAAGTTTCAGTGTTTTGCAACCTGGTTCTTTTCCTAGAAATGATGCATCTTTTAAGTTTTTCCCTTGGGTTACACTTCATCCATGTTGTAATTGGATTTTCTAAGTCTAATTAGAATTGTGTAACCTTTGGCATTAAAACCTACTTGTGTATTACTGGGGTTTTGACACTCTCCTTAGGTTACAATAGTAACCCTTTCTCTTTTTATAATTTAACAGTTGCCTCATTGACCATCAGTCATTTTACTGATAATGATGGTCAACTTTAGCTTTTATCCCCTTTAAATTCACAACGCCAAAATGATTTTTCTCTCCTAGGAATGCCAGAATCACCTCCGCAGATATGGAAATGTGAATCTGGAACTGGTGACTCGAATCATTAGAGATGGTGGTCCATGGGAAGATCCAGTGTTGCAAGCTGTTCTTAAAGCCCAGCCAGCATCTCAGGAGATAGGTACTTCAGGAGATTCAAAATCAAAACCAACATTTGTGAGAAACAAAAACAATTTCATTTCCTAACTAGAGCAATAATAGCGATTTTTCTTTATTTTATAATACTGAAGAATGGAGTTATACATTTCCAAATGAAGAATGTTTAATTTGTTACTCTAACCTGGCCCAAAGTGATTTTGGACACCTCACTAGGTACATTTACTTCTAGTAATGAGAATTCAGAGTATTAATTCTAGATGTTACTTATTTACAGGGAATTTGCTTTTGTCATTTCAGTTATATTTTTTAAATCTGTTTAGGAACATCCATTTTTAGAAAAATTAAAACAAAACCTCTGCTTTTCATGAAACCACAGGAAATTCTATGAGGGGTGGGACTCTGAAATTTTGTCACCATTACTACATATTCTACAGCCAGCCCAGTGCATGGTACAGAGTAGGTGCTCAGTGTTAAATATTTGTTGATTGAATGAATGAATGGTGAATGCATGAGTGAGTGAATGACTCACTGTGTTACTAAGTTACTTTTAATTCCAAAACACTAGAGCATTATTTACAAAATGTAACAGAAATTAAGGTTTATCTTATCCCCTTACTTTCTGCATACCTCTTTGACACTACCTCCTGTCAGATCTACAGTGGTCCCTTGCAGGCCAAAATTTCTTTTTGTGACAGTAGGTCCTGTCAAATGCTTCTCATTAATTCTTTTAAAACAATGTTTTTCACATTATTCTAGAGCCCCAGAATACTTTGGGTCACTAAAACGAAGAATGTAAATTCAGCTAGTTATGAATAAGCAAAAGTGTGGAAAAATCTGAAAGTGTGAGAGAGCATATAGAGAGCCAATAAGTATGAAAATATTTGAAAGTATCAAAGAGGCCTACAAAGAACGTATAAGGACAGCCAAAGGGAAAAGATAAGACTTTCCAATCCTGGAACCTCCAACCAGTCCGATCTCAGTCTGATGAGAAAGAGATGCTTTGTATACCATATACCTGATTGTGATAATAAGCAGGTTAGAATATTTCCATTTCTCCCAGGTTAAGGATGAGGTGGATGAGTGAAACAGAGTGAAGAGACTATGATTTCTCTGCTTAAAAGCAAACCAAGCCCAGATAAAAGTGTGGAGAACTGTAGTAAGAAGTGTAAGAGAAGATGAAGAAAGATAAGCCTAGGACAAGCAAAGCAAAATAGTGGGTTGGCGTGGGAGGTCGGGCAAGACTAAGAGGAGAGGCTAAGGCATATGTATGTCACAGTGTATAGAAAATCCAGAACTTGAGACTGGTACTTGATATGGGGATTTTAGAAAGGGATTTAAAAAAAAAAAAAGTGAAGAAAGAGATAGTTAAGTCTTGAGGAAAAAGTTGGTATGTGGAAGAAAAATATGAAGCCTTGAACATTAGAAAGGCAAAAGTGAAAGACCAGAGGAAACCACAAGGAGAGTGGGACTTAATGTCCAAAATATGCCTGAAGGGGAGAGGAACTAGACAAAGTTTCAAAAGGAGTGAAGTGGAGAAAAAAGTTTGGCATTTTAAGGGAGTTTTAAAAAGCTTCTTTGAGTAGAAGCTAGGATATACCTGTGCTTGATCTGAGGGTCAGTGACCTTTTAAGCTAGGAATCACATTAAAATAAATACTCATTTCAAACCTACACTAGCATGCCTCATTTTGGGAAAAGCTGTTCTAGAGCCTTATCAATATGGATGACTCCTTGCTGGTGACCAACAGGATAAAGAAAAGACTAAGATAATCTTTGTATTAACTATACAGATTGGTGTTTGTTTATAATATATTATAAACAGAATTTCAAGGTAAATAAATAAGCTGAAATATAACATTATTCATAAACACTTTAGAAACTTACTGATTAAATATATGTAAGTAATTAAAACACTTTCGGATTCAGAATCATAAAATATGGATTCTAGTTCCTGCTCTCCCACTTATTCATTCTTTGTCTTTGGGCAAGTCATTTGACCTCTCTGTGACTCAATTTTGTGATCTGTGTAACAAGTATAATCCTGTCATAAGGTTGTTGTTAGGTATAAATAAACTTATATACCTAAAGGTATGTATTTATTCTAAAACTATGTAAAAGAAGAATTCTTATTTCTATTCGGTACTGTTGGTTTGTTGAGAAAGTCATGATGCATTTTGCATATAGATGGCCCAATATTTTTGATGGCCCAATATTTTTAATTAATTTGACTTAGAAAATTAATAAAGTATATTTATTTTATGACTCAACTTTTCATTCATTCAGATTACATTTCTCTAAAATTAATCTGAATTAATGTGATTTTAATGTGACAAATTAGGATTTGGCCCTTTTAATCTTATAGTAATGAAAACATCAGACAAAAAGAATATAAATTATATAATCAGGTTAGAAATACACCATAGACTTGAAATTTTAAAACATCAATAAAAAAGGTGAATTTCTTTTTTCTTTTTTTCATTTTTTTTCATTTCTTTTTTGTTTTTCCCTTACATTTTATATGGAGAAGAAATCAACCAATACTTCTTAAGCACTTTTGTGGTACCATTCTTACTTTCAGTTTTCCAATCATAACTGAAGATTCTTTTCACAAATAAACTTCTACTAAGGAAAGTGTTATTAGCTAGTTAATCTAATTTAATGCCATATTTTGGTTATAAAGTTTCAAACAACAAAGTTTGAGAGAATCTTTTCTTGAGAGTAATAGAGTCTATTTTCTTTTTAATATAGTGAATAGATATTTAAGTTCTGAAAATCCACTGTTCTTTGAACTACGTGCCAGATACCTAATTGCTTGTGAACGCATACCTGAAGCAATGGCTCTTATTAAATCTTGTATAAATCACCCAGAAATCAGTAAAGACTTGTACTTCCATCAAGCACTCTTCACATGTCTGTTTATGTCACCTGTGGAAGATCAGCTATTCCGGGAGGTATTGTTTGAGACTATTTTTGCCTATTGCCATTTTAACCCTTCCAAAAGAAAAAAAAAAAATAGCCCAACAACATTAAATTACATTTACAATATTATCAAAGATTCAGATGAAATCATCTAGATGTGTTCTTGTTGGCAGTATGTTACATTTATGTTGAAATTAGTCAAAACCTGGTATTAACCAATTATGGGATTAATAAAATATATGTTCATTAATAACTATTATTCATGTCAAGCTTTTGGTGTGACAAATCTAATAAAACCCAAAAAGCATAATGATTTTGCCTTTTAAGTAAAGTATGAAAAAGGTAAATGCTCATGTTTGTTTTTTCAAGAAGAATCTTTTCCTAATATGAATCCTGCTTACTTAAGGATTGTAGGCAATAATAAAATTAAAAATTATAAGTTTATTACTGTGTACAGTGGAACTATGAAATTATTTTTATATAAATCACTATTGTCTTTATAGTAGGAAACTAGAAATCTAATTTCTTATTAATATTTAAATTTTACAGCTAGCTTTTTAGATTTTTTAATGATATGAACTGATTTTTCTTTTCTTACAGCACTTATTGAAAACTGATTGTAAGAGTGGAATTGATATCATATGTAACACTGAAAAAGAAGGCAAGACAATTTTAGCCTTGCAACTCTGTGAATCCTTTCTTATTCCACAGCTCCAGAGTGGAGATATGTACTGTATCTGGTAAGTGTTTCTAATATAGCAAAGGAAGTGGTAAGCCAGGGAATAGAAGAATTGGTTAGCAGAATTTGGACTTTACATTTTTCACCCTTAAAAATTATGTGAAATATTAAGTCACTTTAAAAAATTATGCAAGAAACAATAGCAGATTATAAAAACTAGAGATTTTAAAAAGAATATGATTATGTACCACTAAAATTGATAGCATAAATGTTTAAGGTGTCTGTTATAATGAAACAATTATATTTGAAATTAACATTAAAATAGAGCATGAGTTTTTAAAAACATTTTAGAAAGTATGTAGAAGTTTCTGTTAAGAATATATGCTTCATATATTCAATATCCTTTAAGTGCTATTAAGTGAAATCATAGGTAGTAATTAGAAAAGATTCTAACACTTTCTGCTTCTCTCACTCCAGATATATGGGCAGACAAAAAAACCAAAAACAAAAACAAAAACATCACTTTGCCATTTCATTAATTCTTAAGGGAAAACTAAATTTTATTTGCTTAGTACAATAATCTGAAATGACCATGGACTTTATAACCCTATGAACACTTTCCTTTTTTCATTCTCTGAGGTTATGCATACCTGACAGAGAAAGGGAGAGAATAAGCATGCATGCACACACAATAGCATACCCTTCCCAATGGAGTATGGCAAGCCACAATTTTCTTTCCTCCATTCTTTCATCCTGTCAGGATTCCAGGCATGCACACATACCTGGTGTGTTTTTAAGTTTCCAGGGCTAAGATTCGAACCACAGGTCATGTGGTTAGCCACACTGGTTCTTTTAAGTGTTGAGCTACAGAGCTGGCCCTAAACAAATTCTTTCCTCTTTTTTTTCTTTTTTATACTGACTCATGCAAGATGGATAAAGAAAAAGAGAAACTATCCCCCAGCAAAGCTTGATCAGGCCAAGGTCATTTTTCCTCTGGTTCTCCATCCTGTTGGGATTCTGGGAATGCACAGAAATGCTAAAGGTTGGCATTTCTAGTTTCTCAAACCACAGAAGCCAGGACTCAAACCCTAGCCATGTGGGAACCAGCTTCCTCTCCGTAGCACTTAATTGCTGACTACAGGGTCATCCCTAAACACTTGTTTTTAATGCTTTTACATTTTAAATTCTTAGAAGGTATCTGTAGACAGGAGCTAGAAGATAGATGTGACTCTTTCTGCCTAATCAGAAGGAGTCTTTAGCTTTCCTTTAGGCCCATCTTTCTAAGTAGCCTTGGTTCTGATGGCTTACCTACTTATTCTGTCTCTCCACTACAGCTCTGAATGCTAGAGTCCTTTTTCTTGCTTCTGAAAGTTAATTTTTATCATAAATTGAAAAGCAGGATTCTTTTCAGACTACAGGTCTATATTTGTTTCATCCTAGCCTTCCCTAGGATACACTTGTTCTTCATTTTCCTTCTCTGAACAGCACCATATCCACAGTGCAGTTGTGCTCTATCTCAAACCAGTGAGGCAAGGTACTAACACCATTTCTCTTTCTCTGTCACCAGTAATAATAATGGCAGCTGCTAGCATTTGCTGAGTGGCTTCCTACATTCTGTGCTTTATATATGTATTATCTTATTTAATTCAACAATTATATAGGGCAGATAATACTGTGCTCAAGCCATTCAGTTAGTAAATGGTAAAGCTAGAGTTCAAACTTTAGCACCCTGATTTACAGTCTCTGCTGTTAAACATTAGTTACTATAAAGGGTTAAGCTTGAAAAAACTTTAAATTGTAAGAGTGACCCTGTTATAGCCATTTCTCAGAAACTATATAACTTGATGATCATATTAGTAGTTAACAGGATCTTTTATTAGTTAGCTACCTGGGAGATTAGTTTGCACACCAAATAGGTGTTGTTTTTTTTTTTTTTTTCCTGAAGGACCCTTTGATTAAAAGAAAACTTAAAATATCATTAAAGCTCTCTTTTTTGGTCTTCTAAAAGAAGATTATGAATGGTTTTCATAGTGTTTTTGTTTATTTTTGTTTTCTTTCAAAATCCAAGGTAGAAATAAAACCTGAGATCCCATCTTGTGCAAGGGGTCTTCAGAAAGTTCATGGAATATGCATATTAAGAAAAATTATGCATGGGTTTTGAAAATTTTTACTCGAAAAGAAACTTGTACTTTAATTCCATTTTCCACAAACTTTTTGAGGCCCTCTCATAAATTCATTCAAAATGGAACCTCATATCATATCCAGAGATTTCTTCTTTGCCTGCCAGAAAGCTAAACTCCATAAAGATAGCCCTCTCATGGTAAACTTATTAGGATATTGGGATATATTTACATTTTGTTTACCAAATTTTCTCAAAGACAGAGTGGACATAAGATTTCTGATTTCAAAAAAGAAAGAAAAAAAGGCATATTGTGCCCTAAAAAATCTGTTAGGAGTCTTAAATTATCTTTTGGAAAATAAATATATACATTTCCAATCTAGTCATACAAATTTCCATTTGTATAATATTGAATGGAATATCACACCCATGATTCTCCATTGCAGAGAAGCTGGACGTGGCATTATGTGTCTGCATTTCTAGCTATGCGGGAGGCTAAGAAGAGGCTCTTGGTTCAGCAATACCCTGGCTTAAACAGCAACACAAAAACATCTGTTGGAGAGATGTCTTATCTCTTCTTAAACATAGCCAATTTATTTGCCTTCTTCTATCCATATCCCTTTTTTCATAAAATAACCATTACTTAGAATGCCCAGCATAGTTTAATCTCATTCTGCGTGTATAATACCCTGTAGTATATTCCTCAGGTGGCCTCTTCAGAATGCTTTTAGCATTTAAGAATACAATTTTACCAGATTTTCAACTAACAAATATTTATTTAATCCCATTGTCTGAAACTATAAAGATTACAAGGATAAGGAATGAATATAGCAAACTAGTGATTTATTAAACATGAGTATATGCCAGACGTTTCACTTATCTGTTTTAATAAAGACTTTGAATAAGAGTCATCTCAACTTTTATGTATAAGAAGACTGTAGATAAAAGAGAGAAAGGTCACATAGCTAGTAAGAAATGAATTTGGTATTTACTATAGGCTGTTTGCATAGAATAGCATCTGTGTCTAACTACTGTAGGAGAAAATACTGAAAGAATACTGGAGTATGGCTTGAGCTGCAAGTAGGGCAGGAATACAGTTGGTTCTCAAAGATAACTGCTATCAGTGACACTGAGATAACTGCTACCAGTGACACTATGAGATTTCTCTTTCAAATATCTGCTTTCTCTTTTTTGTCACTTGACTTCAGTGTCATGCTGCAGACCAGCAGGAACACCAACAGTCCCACACACTGCATAACTTAGAGTTGAGAACATCCTAGAGATTCTTACCTGGGATAATTTCCCACCCCTGAATTAGTATATCATAGGGGCAGAGGAAGGTCACAGAGTTGACATGGTCACTGAGGTTCTACCCTTATGCATGAAGGATATTCCCAGAAAAGGGTGGCTCACTGTGAACTGAGTAGTGCCACTCTAATTAGTATATAATGCTGTATTGAGATTTAGGTCTCTCATTCTCAGTCCCATGTCTTGCTGCCACATTCACTATCTGATATGTTAGCAAAATTTACAATGTATTAACAGTTGGGGAAATAGGACCATGAAATATAAACAAGGAAGCTATGAAAAGCATTAAGTGAGTAAAATGGTTTTCATAGTGTTTTTGTTTATTTTTGTTTTCTTTCAAAATCCAAGGTACAAGTAAAACCTGAGATCCCATCTTGTGCAAGGGGTCTTCAGAAAGTTCATGGAATATGCATATTAAGAAAAATTATGCATGGGTTTTGAAAATTTTTACTCGAAAAGAAACTTGTACTTTAATTCCATTTTCCACAAACTTTTTGAGGCCCTCTCATAAATTCATTCAAAATGGAACCTCATATCATATCCAGAGATTTCTTCTTTGCCTGCCAGAAAGCTAAACTCCATAAAGATAGCCCTCTCATGGTAAACTTATTAGGATATTGGGATATATTTACATTTTGTTTACCAAATTTTCTCAAAGACAGAGTGGACATAAGATTTCTGATTTCAAAAAAGAAAGAAAAAAAGGCATATTGTGCCCTAAAAAATCTGTTAGGAGTCTTAAATTATCTTTTGGAAAATAAATATATACATTTCCAATCTAGTCATACAAATTTCCATTTGTATAATATTGAATGGAATATCACACCCATGATTCTCCATTGCAGAGAAGCTGGACGTGGCATTATGTGTCTGCATTTCTAGCTATGCGGGAGGCTAAGAAGAGGCTCTTGGTTCAGCAATACCCTGGCTTAAACAGCAACACAAAAACATCTGTTGGAGAGATGTCTTATCTCTTCTTAAACATAGCCAATTTATTTGCCTTCTTCTATCCATATCCCTTTTTTCATAAAATAACCATTACTTAGAATGCCCAGCATAGTTTAATCTCATTCTGCGTGTATAATACCCTGTAGTATATTCCTCAGGTGGCCTCTTCAGAATGCTTTTAGCATTTAAGAATACAATTTTACCAGATTTTCAACTAACAAATATTTATTTAATCCCATTGTCTGAAACTATAAAGATTACAAGGATAAGGAATGAATATAGCAAACTAGTGATTTATTAAACATGAGTATATGCCAGACGTTTCACTTATCTGTTTTAATAAAGACTTTGAATAAGAGTCATCTCAACTTTTATGTATAAGAAGACTGTAGATAAAAGAGAGAAAGGTCACATAGCTAGTAAGAAATGAATTTGGTATTTACTATAGGCTGTTTGCATAGAATAGCATCTGTGTCTAACTACTGTAGGAGAAAATACTGAAAGAATACTGGAGTATGGCTTGAGCTGCAAGTAGGGCAGGAATACAGTTGGTTCTCAAAGATAACTGCTATCAGTGACACTGAGATAACTGCTACCAGTGACACTATGAGATTTCTCTTTCAAATATCTGCTTTCTCTTTTTTGTCACTTGACTTCAGTGTCATGCTGCAGACCAGCAGGAACACCAACAGTCCCACACACTGCATAACTTAGAGTTGAGAACATCCTAGAGATTCTTACCTGGGATAATTTCCCACCCCTGAATTAGTATATCATAGGGGCAGAGGAAGGTCACAGAGTTGACATGGTCACTGAGGTTCTACCCTTATGCATGAAGGATATTCCCAGAAAAGGGTGGCTCACTGTGAACTGAGTAGTGCCACTCTAATTAGTATATAATGCTGTATTGAGATTTAGGTCTCTCATTCTCAGTCCCATGTCTTGCTGCCACATTCACTATCTGATATGTTAGCAAAATTTACAATGTATTAACAGTTGGGGAAATAGGACCATGAAATATAAACAAGGAAGCTATGAAAAGCATTAAGTGAGTAAGAGAAGTAAGATATATTCTGATGTAGGTATCGTTTTAGTTTGGGGAATTCACAAACACTTTTATGAAGAGACACTTGAAAAGGCCTTTGAAAAGCAACCTTATCTTAGAAATGAAGAATTACTTTCCAAGTAGAGAAATCAGTATAAATGAAAGTGAGGCTAAATGAAGTACTTTAACTTTCCTCCCTTTAACAGTGAGGAACCCTACCTAACAGAGTTTCTGATTTAAATTCTGATCCTTCTGACTCCCAAACCCATATTTCTGTTGTTGTTACCATGGTACAGTACAGCATATTGAATAAACATTAAATGAAATTATCAGGGACATGTGAGGAACAGATCAGGTTAGTGCTCACTGAGAAAGAATGATATAGTTTAGAGCAAAAATGTAATTAAAATATAAAGACACTGGAAAATAAATAGAACTGAAGAAGCTAGAGGAATGTTTAGTGCCACTGACTAATCTAGGAACAGAGATCATCAATTTGGCAGGAATATGATTAGATCTACATAGGTTAAGGTGTTGAAAAGTAATCTTAATTGAAATACCCAAATATGAAAGTTTGGAAAGAATCAGGGGCTAGAGATCTGAGGGAGAGGTATGAAACCTGGTGAACATTTTAACAGGTTATGTATGCAAAACAAAAGTGAGTGGTGGACTGAAATTTAAGGAACATACAACCAGTATGAAATGGAAGTGGAATTTTGGTTTTACTTTTTATATGTTGCTTGCTACCATTTTCTGTTTTGTGTTTTCTGTATTGTCTAAGTAGCCCATGAACATCCCCATGATGCTAATCAAACTATCCTTAGAGTCAATGCCTTTATGTGATGGGCTCAAATTATATACCCTGTAAATCACTTTTTTCGCTTAAAGCATTTTCATCAATTATTTGAGCACTTTTAGATCATGATGTGCCATATAACTTTTATGACATGTTTTAAAGAATCTAATTTGCCAAAATGTGATATTCAAATACATGTTATATATTACGATTTGCACTTGCCTCAAAACCCACTGTTTCTTAGTCTTGTTCATTTAATAATTCTGGCCATATTTTAGAAAAGAATCTATAAAATAATTAAATAGCTTATACCTTGCCTATTTAAAAGAGAGCTACATCATGATAGAAGAGCAGATGATCTAAAATACAGTTTTAGAATCAATACTATAATATACATACACTTTTAATCTGTAGCGGCAGGTATCTTAATGGATTGAAAATGGAAAATATGAACTATTTCTCCTTTGCAGAAAGCCTATACAACATTGGTGTCTAAATTTGAAACTAGGTATTATTTCAAAGTCGAAAAGCTTATTGTTTCTTAGTGTAATATCAATATTGGTACACTAGGGCTAGAATTTCTGTTTTGGCCTAACACCACAGATGTTTTAGGTATGCCAGTGTATGACTGGAATATATACTCACCACTGCAAAATCTTATTTCTCTCTTTTTGTCTTAACTTCTATTAGTCTCATATAGGTAGGAAAGTAGCCTAGCCTGGGTGTTAACAATACATATTTACACCCACTTTATATAGCTCCCAACCAGGATGCTACAGAATCAGGGGAAGATAGCTAATGTCTGTATTCGAATAAACTGTATTTTTGATATTTCTCTTTTTTTCTTATTTACAGGGAGTTGATTTTCATATGGAGTAAACTACAGCTTAAATCTAATCCTTCAAAACAAGTTTTTGTAGATCAATGCTACCAGCTTTTAAGAACAGCAACTAATGTGAGAGTCATATTTCCTTTCATGAAAATCATTAAAGATGAGGTAAATAGGATATATTTATCCCTTGAATTTTAAATTAAATTTTAAATGACAGTTCACTGAAACTTGAATTTCTTATGATAAAATTAATTTCATTATTGAAATGAAGGAAAGGAGGATTTTAAGGCTACATTTCTATATATCATATCCTCCTATTCCCCAGCTCTAAAGTCATAACATGGTACAAAGGGCATACATGAGAGAAAATAACTGAAAAGATAGAAGAAAAAAATCAGTTTATCATTACTTAAATTTAATAAGGGAAAAATGCTCCCATAAGAAGCTGTTATCTCTTTCTTTATACTTAAATAAGTTTTTCACTTTCAACATTATCTCAAGTGCCATTTGTAGAATATTAACTAATTTGAAATGAACTCTGTATATCTAAAGGTAATACCTGTTCACTGTTCACAATTTCAGTCTGGTGTTTATGTGAGAAGGAACAATAAATTCTGAGGCATTTTTGAAATTTAAGAACAAGTTTTTAAAGTGTTTATTTGACGGCATTGTAAAAACCCATGTTCTGTTTTTTTAAATAGCCCCAAATTAAGGCCAGCAGGTGTCATAGTGGTTTTGTCGCTGGACTCCCACGTGGCTGTCCATGGGTTCGTGTCCTGGACCCAGTGGCTTGAAACTCACACTGGGTGCATGTGTGTGTGTGTCCAAGAACCCATTAGAAGAATGGAGAAGGGATTTCATTTTGGCCACCCCCGTGGGGGGGGGGGGTGATTTTTCAGTTTCCTTCTCATTGTCTCTCTCTCCAGCAAGCACATACACCCTAAGGCAAAAACCTCAAAAAAAAAAAAAAATCCCCACATTTAATTTTTCTTGGGCCACACTCAAGTGTGTACAGTTCTACAGATTAGGCTTGCATAGATATGAAAGTGATTCTTGAGTCTTATTAAACACAAAAATGGATCATGCAGATCCTTTAACTACCCCTATCCCCTCCTTCAAATATTGACAGGACCATTAATACAAAGATATGGTAAAGCCGGGGAACCAGCAGTTAGCGTAATGGCTATGTCGCTGAACTCCCATGTAGCCGAGCACAGTTTGAGTCCTGGACCCAGTGGCTTAATCTCACGCCGGGTGCATGTGCGTGCATGCCCAAGATCCCGAGAGGAGAGTGGAGGAGAAGGGATTGCAGTGTGGCCATCCCTCCTGAGGGATGATTTCTCGCTTTCTATCTCTCTGTCTCTCTCTGTCTGGCGAGTGCACGTGCCCTATAGCAAAAAACCTCTCCAAAAAATAATTAATTAATTAATTAAATTTTAAAAAGATAAGGTAAAGCCAACCTACATATTAGGTAGATCAATTTAAATGAATTTTTATGTGGGTTATTTTTAAATATATAAGGAGGCATCCATTACATGATAAATTTTATTTTTCCATATGTATTTATGCATTTATCACATTTATTATTACATCACTCATTAGATGTATGGCAATGTAATGATTGTATTCACATGATATAAAGTTGGCAGCATTGTGTTGAAGGGTTTTCTTTTGTATTCTCATTTATTTTGCTAATTGCATTCATAGCATCCTTATTAAATGGTGAAATGTCATTCAAATGCATTGTCGAAGTCAACCTCTCCCTGTACCCAAAAAAGGGAAAACAAACTATGCTACAGAATATGTTTCACATTTGATATGCATTAGAATCACCTGTAAATTTTTTTTTTGTTTTTACAAATAAAGGTATATGTTTTTTTTCCTAGTAAAATTCTCATTTGTATCAAAAGTTGAAAGGAAATTTTTAGTCTTAGGGAGGTTCTGCCAGTTACCACACAGCTTTCTTATTTTAACATGTCTGGTCAACCTAAGAATTTATTACAAGAAGAAAAATTCAAAGGTTAATTAAATATTAAAAATGTGATGCTTAATGGTTTACACTCTACTAAAAACAGCTATCTGATGAATAGATCATTCACATGCCTCAGTGCTGTTAAAAGCTGTGTGAGTTTAGGAGAAGTCATAACAGATGGTATATCTGAAAATGCTTCGCAGAAGATGTAGTAAGCTAGGTTTTGGATGACAGATGAAGGCAGTACTAACATTTTAGAGGATTTTATAGTTTACACAGGCAGCTTTTCCTCATTGTATTTTGTTTTGTTTTGTTTTTCCCCTACAATAGTCCAGTGTCATTAATAGGGTAGCAGGGAAACTTTGGGAAGTGGGTTGGAAGTGAGGCTAATAGAAGTGAGAGTGGTGCGGGTGGGAGTGGTTGTTGGAGATCTTAAAGAGATTTGAGTGCTACAATAAGAGTTGGTATTTAAGTTCATATATAATCTGGAACCATTAAAGGATTTCAGGTACGGATGTAACTTATCTCCTTTTTTGATCTTAAAATTTTTAAATTTGAGCATCTGAATGCATTATGATGTTATGAGTCAAGATAGAGACTAGACAGAATTCTGGATAGAGGTAGAATTGTGTTTTGTACCAGGAGATTTTGAATTTGCTGTATCTGAAAATCTAGGTGAGAAAATCTAATCATAATAGACATTTAGAAATAAGTTCATAAAGGATTCCAAGCTGATAGATGATGGATTTAAAGGGCAAACTAAAGTTGGCACTATAGATCTGATTCTCATTCACCTGCAAACATTTACTCAAAGGTCATCATGTTCCAACTTCTATGCAAAACCATTGGGGAAAACATGATACCCTGTCCTCTCTGATTTAGGAATTCAAAGTCCCAGGGTGGGGGCACACAGAATGGTATAAAACAAACACTTCTAAAGATGTTATTCTCAGTGAAAAGAATAGGGAATATTCAACTGAATCTCAAGGCAGAGTCCAAAATTAATGAGGAGAAAGGCCTTCAGAGTAGCACTATTCTCAAATAATGAATTGGAGATCAGGAGGAAATTTACTATCTGGATAAAGTGAGAGCAGGATGTACAAAATTAAGATCCACCTATGAACATAGTTAAGGAAGGATTACACAGCATGTAAGGGTCTAAGAAGACCTTAAGCTGGCAACATATAGTAGTCTTCCTTGTAATCTATAATCTACCATATGTAGGCAGTACGACATACAGACATATATGATTTTAAAGATATTACTATGGTATTTCCACCTTTCCAACAAGTAATTTATATTACTCCAAATCACTAGAGAGATTATTTATAATTTGAACTAAGATAGATTGACAACAGATTTGCAAGTAAAAGCTGACAGAGTTATCTTTGAATCATCAGTAAAACTTCCAAAGCTTCAGTAACTTTCAGATAGTTTCCAGTAAATTCACTAATCCCTATTAGATTTGGAAACATTGTAATCACCCTTTTCATGGAAATGTGGGTCACATGTCCTTATAATATAGCATTGTAAAAGTTTCTATGGACAGGTTTTTTAAAAAAATTTTATTCATTGTCATTATTTTATTTTATTGTTATTATCTTTAAAGTTGACCAGAGAGAGACGGGAGGGGGGTGGTGGTGGGAGTGAGAAAGCAAGCTGCTAGGTTCAGGACTTAAACTGGGGTCAGCATGTGGGAGTCCAGCCGCCTTAACCACCATGTCATCTGCCAGCCCCATGGACAGCTTTTTTTTTTTTTTTAAATCTACTTATTTCTTAGCACAGAAAATAAATATCTTTCAATGTAGATATACTAACCCTTCTGCCAAAGAATATGATACTGGCATCTAAAATAATAAATAGGGACCTTGATTTGAAAGAAACTAATCACTATAAGTTTACTAAGTATTTTGTATTATGGTTAGTAGGGCTTTATTTTTTAATCGAATAATTGAAAATTAACATGGAATCTAAAATATCAGGTATCATAGATTATTCTTAAAAAAAGACACATTACAATAATCAAGGTTATCAACAAAGGAAAGTTGCACATTCAAATTCAACTATGTTTATTAAGTTTTCATTTTAGTGTTATATTTTAAAAAGATAAACAAGTTAGTATAACTTTTTAAAGGTATTTAGTTGGAATTTTGTTATTTTTTTGCAGGTTGAAGAAGAAGGCTTGCAAATTTGTGTTGAAATATGTGGTTGTGCTCTACAACTAGACCTTCATGATGATCCCAAAACTAAATGTCTTATTTATAAGACAATCGCACATTTTTTGCCAAATGATTTGGAGATCCTCAGGATTTGTGCACTCTCAATATTTTTTCTTGAGCGCTCATTAGAAGCTTATCATACTGTTGAAGAGCTTTACAAACGTCCAGATGAAGAATATAATGAAGGCACAAGTAGTGTTCAAAATCGTGTTCGTTTTGAATTACTTCCAATTTTGAAAAAAGGACTGTTTTTTGATCCTGAATTTTGGAACTTTGTAATGATTAAGAAAAATTGTGTAGCATTATTGAGTGATAAATCAGCAGTTAGATTTCTAAATGAAAGTACACTGGAAAATTCTACAGGTAATCTAAAAAAGATAGTGGAACAGCAAGGTCTAGAGGAAGGGCTTGAGATTTTTATAGATCAGAGCACTGAAGAGACTGACCCTGATGAAATATATGGAGTGCAACCTAAAAGTCATACTAATACAAAGAAAAACCTTACAGCTCTTAATACTTCCAAAGTAGATCACAATGTTCCAAGGCATCGGTGTATGTTATGTAACAAGGAATTTCTTGGTGGCCACATTGTAAGGCATGCCCAGGCTCATCAGAAAAAAGGCAGCTTTTCATGTGTAATATGTGGTAGGAAGTTTAGAAACAGAGGACTTATGCAGAAGCATTTAAAGACTCATGTTAAGAAGATACAAAGACAGCAAATTGCTGCAGCTCAACAGGATGATCAGGAAATCACTGTTTTGGAAGAAGTAAATTATTCCAGTTCTTCTGTTTCATTTGAAAATGGGAATTCTGATAATAAGGATTTGGAAGTAGATACCCTTACTGCATCCAGTGATGGAAACAAAGAAGTCATTCCTGAGCATGTGGATGGATTAACTGAAATTCCCCTAAATGTACCAGAAGCTGTTACTGAAAACATCATTGAAAATGGCAGTCCTGGCGCCACCTTAAATAATGTCTCAGCACCTTTACCTGAATGTGTGGATGACTATGAGGAGGAAGAGGATGAAGAAGGTAATTATGAAGAAGATGATTATGACCTGAATCAAGAAACTTCAGTACTTCATAAAATCAATGGAACTGTGTGTCATCCAAAAGATATATATGCTACAGATCAAGAAGGAAACTTTAAGTGCCCTGCTCTTGGCTGTGTAAGGATATTTAAAAGAATTGAATTTCTAAATAAACATGCAAGGACTGTACATCCGACTGATTTAAATGTGCGGCAAACAGTAATGAAGTGGAGCAAAGGGAAATGTAAATTTTGTCAACGGCAATTTGAAGATTCTCAGCATTTTATAGATCACCTTAATAGACATAGCTATCCCAATGTGTACTTCTGTCTGCATTTTAATTGCAATGAGTCATTTAAGCTGCCATTCCAGCTTGCCCAACATACAAAGAGTCACAGGATATTTCAAGCTCAGTGTAGTTTTCCAGAATGCCATGAGCTTTTTGAAGATCTCCCTCTGCTATATGAACATGAAGCTCAGCACTATTTAAGTAAAACACCAGAATCATCTGCACAACCAAGTGAAGCAGTTCTTTGGGATGTTCATACAGACTCAGATCCTACTCACCAGGAAAAAGACTCATCTAGTAATGAGAAACAAACTATTAATCTGCCAGTTTTTATTAACAAATCAAGGAAAGATTTTACAGAACCAAAGACGTACATAGCAAGTATAGAAAAGAAAACAGATGGTTTAATTCAGAATGGAAATGAACATTCTGATGACGCTGTTTCAAATATAAGCTTGGTAGACCAAAAGATGCCTGATACAGAGCCAAATTCTGAAAATAATTGTAGTATTAGTGATTTAGTCAATGGACACAGTGAAATAGAGCAAACACCTTTAGTCGTGTCAGATCCTGTTTTGAAAATTGATACAAACAGAATCAGGACAGAAAATGGTTCCGTGTTACCCAGTGTTGTACCACAAGAACACAATACCCTGCCAGTATCTCAGGCACCTTCCAAACCAAATCTGAGAAGTGAACATACTTCATATGGCTTGATCTTAACAAAGCCGTATGTCCGACCATTGCCTCCCAGTTACCTTGATGAACGGTACCTTAGTATGCCAAAACGCAGAAAATTTCTGACTGATAAAGTAGATGCCTGTTCTGATCAAGATAATGTTTATAAAAAGCCAGTGAAAAGATTAAGATGTGGCAAATGCTTGACCACCTACTGTAATGCAGAAGCACTTGAGGCTCATCTTGCACAAAAAAAATGTCAGACACTCTTTGGATTTGATTCAGATGATGAAAGTAAGTCTTCTGTCTTCTCAGATATATCTGTAAAAATAGAAAATGCCATAAATTTAACAGAATATGAGATTTTCAAAAAGTATGAGATTTTCAAAATTTAACATTTATATGTGGGACTTTAAAGAGCTTGTTGAAAACGGAATTAAAGTATGATCTTATTTTGCTATAAACAGTTTTGAAATACATGCATAGTTTTTTCATAACAGGCATTTTCCATGAATTTTTTGAAGGCCCCTTATAACAAATAGTAAAACATTATTTATCCTATATTTCCTTTAATCTATGCAATCACTATGAAGTGACTGTACTATTCCTGTTTTATAAATCAAGCAGATGAAAAGTATTTTGCATAGAAATAGGCCTATGAACTTGTGGAAGCCAGAACTTGAACACAGGTTTTATATACTCTTTGATCATATTTTCTGCTGTATCAGTGGTTTTTGTTTTTCTTCATTCCAAGTTAAATGTATTTTGAGGGAAATGTTTTTTCATCCACATGCCAGGATATAAATCCAGTAAAGCTAAGTCTCTCTAATAATAGAAGTAAAACAATGCAAAATAATTGTAAAAAATCAGCCAAGGAATAACTTACTAATACTCTTTGAATGAGCAAGGCTGTAAACTCGGTAGGAGGGTATAAATTCAATATATAGGAGTCTGATAGAATTCCAGTTGAGAGCATTATAAAATTTGAATTAACAGATGTGTTCTGTTTTACAGGTGCCTGATAAAAATATTTCAGAAAAATCTCTTAATCAAGCAGTAGTGTGAAAAAAGCACTACAAGAAAACGCATCTTCAGTTTGCTATTTCCCTGATGGCCTTAATTTTAGAGTGGTCTCGGATTCTAAAGATAAAGAAAAAGCACATTTTCTGGAATGAACTCACAGAGGAGATGTGCTGGCTTAGACTCCAAAAGGGTTATTATAGACCCCCAAAGTACCAGTTATCCAGAAAACCACATTTTTAAAAGCTTATGATAATTAGTAGCAGCATGTTCAGTTTTGCTTATGTGAGAAACATGTTCAGGCACTTGTCAGAAAGAAAAACCAATGATGGCCTTACAAAAAGGGAAAAATTAACACATTATACAAAAGGTGGGGGGGGGCTGGTTTTCAATAATAAACAAAATATTCTATAAATGGGATTTATTTTCTTGTCATGCATAATCATATTATGTCCTCCCTTCTGGTCAGACATGTTTTAGGAACCATCTCTGTTTGGTTTGTGATATGATTTAGAAACTGATAAATGAAAATAAAAATTTATCACCATGCTATCTTTTAAAGATTGTAACTTGTTTCCAGATGATTAATTGGATTGAAATTCAATAACTGGCAAACCAGCACTGATCATTTAAAAAGGAAAAAAGAAATAGTTATTTGCTAATAAGCTCTTGATATAACCTTCCACTTTCTCATTTTTTTTTTTTTTTGGAGAGATTTTCCCTATAGGGCGCGTGCGTCTGCCAGACAGACAGAGACATAGAGACAAAAAGCGAGAAAGCACCCCCAGGGGGGATGGTCACGCCGCAATCCCTTCTCCTCCATTCTCCCCTCGGGATCTTGGGCACGCATGCACACGTGCCCGGCGTGAGTTTTAAGCCACCAGGTCCAGGACACGAACCGCGGTCGACTACGTCGGAGTCCAGCGACAGCCATTACGCTAACTGCTGGTTCCCCACTTTCTAATTTTGTAATACAGATTGGTTATATTTGAAAGGTGGCAGTGTCAATTAAATGAAAGGACAGTCAGTAACTAGAGAAAGATGGAAGGAATCTCAGATCATTACAAGCTACATGGTTGAAAGAAACACTGAATTACAAATTCTTCAATGTGAATAATAGTAAAAGCACACTGGGATATTTCTGTTTGTATATAGTGTTAGGACATTGCTTGATGATTCATAGTAAGGTCCTTTAGACATTAATGTGTATTATCTAAGAACAGTCCTATTAATAACTGGCTTAAAAATATGTTAAGCTAAGAATCAGGGTGAGAATACATTCATTTTATTCAGTTAGGAGAGTTAATTCCAAAATAAGCCATACTACTCATGTTTTTTATTCATTAGTGATGGATTTGATCTGAATAGTAATGTTTATAAATAAAAGGAAATATTTACACAAAAATGTGCACAGCAAGAACAGTAAAAGATATATCGATACATTATTGTTTCTTGGTGACCAGTAATTTTCTTAAGGAAGATTTTAACTTAATGGTCAATAAATTGTTTAAACAATAAAATTTTTTAAAAATTACCCTCTCAAATGTTTTTGACTTGTCCATTATTGAAAGATGCTTTTACTCCTTTTACCTAATAGTGTGTTAATTTATGGGATAAAAACAAAAATGAAAAGGCAAATTATTTAAAAATGAAATTTTTTAAAATTTAAAAATGAAATTTTTACTAGTGTACCAGTGTCAACCAAATATTCCAGTTATTTCAGATGATAAGTTTTTATTTAAAACAGGTAACTGGTCAGATGCTACTATTATAAATAGTAGGATATTTGAGTTTCTTTTTTTTAAATTTATTTAATTGCTAGAAGGCATGTACACTTGTCAGAGACAAAGAGGGAAAGCACCCCCCCCAGTGGGTGTGGTCATGCTGCAATCATTTTTCCTCCATTTCTCCATCCTGTCAGGATTTAGGGCACGCATATACATGCATTTGGCATGCTTTTCAAGCTGCCAAGCCCAGGACTCAAACTGTATTTACCTATGTGTGAATGTGGCTCCCCATGCACAGTGTTATGGGGCCAGCCCAGATATTAGAGCTTCTTAAATGAAGTTACTAGGGAAGAGGAATATTCCTTCCAAGGTAGCATCCAGATTTTATTAAATATAATTTCCAGGTTGTATAGATTAGATGATATAAAATTTCTCAATTTTTTTAAGTTTATTTATCATGGGCATTCACTACTATGCAATGATCATTAATTTCATTCCAACCAAATTTAACTTTGTTTTATTATGTAGCCTATATTAGGCTGTGGCATTTACATTTAGATAATAAACAAAACTCAGTACTTCCTGATACTAAAAATGTAATAATGGAGTTCTATTCAGTTTATTCTAAAACTATGCCTTTTAATTTAAAAAAAAGTCTGTTTGGAAACTAGTTCATCTGGACAATGAAGTCTTTTTGACATAATTTCTGCTTTGTACGTTTTCCAAAAGTTTAAAATGACAAACATTTTATCACATTTTTATTTTTTGTAAGTTAAAACCACTGACATAAATCCATGGCCACAAATTTATATTTTCATTAATATTGAAGTTCATATTAAGGTGTTTTAAACATGTTGCAGCTGTAATTTTTATCCTTAAGTCTGAGGTTTTATTTCTACTTTTGTGTTGCTAATAGAAAGTCTTTCTGAAATCCAACTAAGATCAAATTTGGCTTATACACAACTAAATCAAGGAGTATTTTATAAAATTCTATTTGATCACACCGTTCTTCTTTATGTACTTCTCAAATAATGGCTATTGAAATAATGTGTACATTTAATTATGTCTTCTAAAACTTTATTTTGTGAGGGGTGCATAAATTTCCAACATTTCTAATTTGGGATTCAGAAGAAAGCAGCTTCTTATTCCTCAGATTCTCCTTTTCTTTATTTATTTTCTATTCCTGAGAATATATTTACCTTACATGGACCAAGATTGAAATATTTGTTTTTAAATAAAATTTTCATTTAAAAAATTAAATACTAATTTTCTGCTATATGTTAGTAAGGTCAAGAAAAGAGCAAATCTGAATACTTGCTGCTCGGATATTATGGAAGAGGTAGAAAAGGGGGAATCTCTGTGGACAAGGACACTGGTACTTTGGGCTTCAGCCATATTCCTTTTTTAAAAAACCATCAATTATATAATGCATAGATAATTTGTAACATCGAACATGTGATTCTTTTCAAATCACACTGAAGGTTCAGCCGTACTCCTTTCACGTTAGGTTTATGGATGTTGTATGGATGAAAAACCTAAAAGGGATGATAGTGTTTATTTTTTAATTTATTTGGTACTGTAAAACACCTTTTCAGAATGAATAAATGCTGCATATGCATTTTGGAATTGTTAATATGTGAAAGATATTACAGATTCAGCAAGAAAGGAAATTTGTGCTTCCTTGTTGAATGTTAAATTATTTTACTTTGCATTTTATAAGAGTACAGATTAAAAACTGAGCCATTGAACTGCAATAAATCAACAATAGTGTCTCATTTCAATAAATTTTTTGTACTGTACATAGATTTGTTCAATAAAACATTGTCCTTGTTGGTAATGAAGTGTTCATTGCTTTAAAAAAGGAATCATACTTAAGCTGTAAATTCAGAAATTTCCACTATATATTATTATCAATGAATGGGTTATTTCAATTAGTATCATAACACTTTCATATTTCTTAGTGATTTTTAAAATATAATGTAGAAAAGTAAGTATATGGGATACATATTTTTAGATATATTTTAACTAATGTCTATATATAGGAATAAAAATTGGTTACTTAGGTCATTTCAGGTGATTTCAAAGGGAATGTCTGACCTCTTCAAAAGTAGGACAGCTGGATGGATTTGTCTACGTTGGCATTTTTCCTAAGATAAACTTCTGGAGGAATTACAAAAACAAAAAGTTAAGACTGAAGTTACTGCAAAATATTAAGATATAATGATGAAAATTACTTCTCACAAAAGCATTTCAATGGGGGAATGTGTAAGTCAGTAATTTGTAACAAGAAGTGATTTCCATGGACATGAGAGCTCCTAATGTTTTTGTTCTCTAACAAAGGGAAATAAAAAAAAAAAAAACCTACCCTATTTTTGTAACTTGAAATGGAAAAAAAATTGGGTTTTAGGTACAAAAAGAATCTTTTTTGATGCAATGAGGTAATACTGCAAATGAGAGAACAGGTACTGGGTTCAAGTAATTTACATGTATTACAAACATTTGGCTTTGAAACACTGAGAAAGTTGAATTAATCTAGGACTGAGTGTAGATTCTCAGTTTCCTATATGGTCATATGTTCTTGGGTTGTTGGAAAAGGCATGACACATTTCTGCATAGAAAAATGTCATGACTTTTGCAATAACCCAGCATGTTCTGTTTTCAGGGCAGTGAATCAAAGTACCCAAAGTTACTAAGATTTAGAGAACATTTTCCTTTTGTAAAGCTTGAGATATTCTTGGAAGCAAGTAACTATTATGTACTAGTTTCCAAGCTAACCCAATAAAATTGCTTTTCATAGCATGAGATCCATACTGATTACAAAAATCCTCAGTAACAGGGACAAAAGTTTTGGCAAAATATCAAGATCTGAAATGGACTTGTATTACATGGACTAAAACTGAAAATGGAAGGGAGGTTCACACCTTATTGATAGATGTTGAACACTAGGGAAAAAAATATTTCTACTTTACCTAAATTACTGTGTACCAGTTCTTTATATATGTTAGCTCTATTGTTAAAAGATCTCCAGGGTAAATATGAACACGAGCTTTTAGACACCTAGACTCAAAGAAAAGTTGATAGAAGTCCCACAACTAATACAGATGGAGTTGAAAAATTAGGTACGTTCTAAAACACTGATATATCCATCCTGTTGTGCAGTTTCTCTTATAAGTCTAGAGCATGGGTAGATCTAATATATCTAAATAGAGAGGGTCTCACTTGTGTGAGGATCAGTGATTACAGAGACACAGGATGAAGACATACGATATACCTGGTTGATGTTTCATTACCTTCTAGCAGTGACTCTTAGGTGGTCGGTCTCTGGAACAGTAGAATCAGGATCACCTGGGAACTTGCTAGAAATGCTGAATTTTGGTCAGATGGACACCAATCTGTCCTTTCATAAATACTCCAGGTGAGAAGCTGAGATTTGAAAGCCATAGATCTAAATCAGCGATTTCTTCACTATCTCCCTAGGAAGTAAACTATTCCCCTTAAATTCTTGGAAACTCAATTTCCAGGACAAATTTGATAGAGATTCAAGTAACTACTGTTGGGTGAACGGATATTGTAGTACTAACAGCTAATACTCTAAACTGCTCTTGAGAATGGTTTTTGCTCTTAACAAGTAGCAAGTAAGTGAAACTCTACCAGAATGTGATCTCATGGAAACAGTGTAAAGAGATGAGTATCATTTGTACTCAAATTCTGGCTTGGTGGTTTTATAGTTGTGGAGGCCTCACCAATTAAGTACATCTACTGAGCTCAGATTTCCTCAACTGTTAAAAGGGGACATCTTTTCTTGCAAGGTTGTAAGAATTAAGTCTTTGAAGTACCTAGTGCTAATGCCTTCTGATTATGATTTTGCTGAAATTTTCTTCATCTTTTTTTTTTGAAGAGGTTTTTTTTCCTATAGGGTGTGTGTGCTAACCAGACAGACAGACAGAGACAGGGAGACAGAAAGTAAAAAATCCCCCCCCCCCAGGGGGGATGGCCACGCAGCAATCCCTTCTCCTCCATTCTCCTCTCAGGCTCTTGGGAACACACGCACACGCACCCGGTGTGAATTTTAAGCCACTGGGTCCGGGATGCGAACTGCGGTCAACTACATGGGAGTCCAGTGACATAGCCATTACGCTAACTTGCACTCATCATGTTATTTTATTTTATGTATTTTTATTACTGTTCCCTTTGATGGTAATTCTTCACCCTCCTTCTCTCCCAATCCTCATTCTTTAATTCTTTTTAGGCATCACCACTTTCTCCAGAATGCCTGATCTTTTGATTACTCCTATTTCCCCTACTTCTCCCAGTGTTCCTCTATCAGTAAATGGCAACTCTAGTTGCCAAAACTAAAACTTTGCAGTCATCTTTTATTGTTTATATTTCTCCATGAGAGAGAGGAGAAAGAACAGTTCCTCTCAACAAGGTCCTCATGCCACAGTCAATCCCCAACTGCAGCCAGCCAGAATATGCATGTATATGCCCAGTTCACACAAAGAGACCCCAGGACATGAACCTGGGACCTTCCCACTTGGGCCCAGCATCATAGAACTTATTACTGCTGTGCCACCACTGCCAACCCATCCTTGACTTATATCCCCCATGCTAATCCATGCCACCATCTTCTCAGACTACTGAAGTAGTCTACTAATTGGATTCCTTTCGTCTACTCTTGCCTTTCTTTAATTTGTTGTTCACATGAACAAAGTGATCTTGTTTGAAACAAGTCAAATCATGTCATTCCCCAGTATAAAACCTTTCAATGGTTTCACAACTCATTCAACAAATACTCGTTACATACCTCCCATGTGCCAGGCTCTGAGAAAAAATGTTTTATTCATAGAGTTCAAATTGCATGGTAGGCAACACAGTATAAGTGATAAGGAGAAAAATATGATGGGTAGAAAATGTATAAGAAAATGTGGTGGTGATATTAAGATGATGAGGAACAGCCTCTGATAAGGTGACTTGTGAGCAGGGATGTAATAAAGTTAAGGGAAATAGAGCCATTCAGATATTGGAGGGAAGAATGTGCAAGGCAGAACTGCAATAACAAAGGCTTTGAGGTGGGAATGTATGTGGCAAACTGAAGGAATGGATAACAAGGATATCATTGGGTTGAGTCTGAAATGGGAGATTGTGAGAATAACAGAAAGTCAGAGGTAAAAGATAAAAGCCAAAGTGTATATACTGGCCTCCAAGTCTCTAGATCTGCATTATCCAATGCAGTTGCTACTAGGTATGTGTAGTTACTGATGGAAATTTAATTGAAATTCAGATCATATTTGAAAAAGGGTTCCTCAGATGAGCTAGCTACATTCCAACAACTCAATAGCTCCATGTGGCTGATGGTTACCGTATTTAGACAGCAGCACATTAAGAGGTTTGTCTGTATCCATTGTTCTCAACTTGGGATGGAAGATGATTTTGCTCCCTCAGGAACATTTGGCAACATCTGGAAGTATTTGTGGTTGCCACACCTGAGGGTAGGAAGTGCTACTGACACTTAAGTGGGTGGAGACCATGAATGCTGATAAGCATCCTGCACAGGACAACCTCAACAGCAAAGATTTATCCTGCCTAAAATACCAATGGTACTATGATGAGAAACACTGCATCACATTGGTCTTGGCCACAACTCCTAACCACATTGTTCACTGCCTCCTCCTTGCTCAAGCTGCTCCAGTCTCCTTGCATCTACATGCCATGTACATATCTCCTTAAAAACCTCTACTGTTGATTCTTCCTATAACATTCTTCCATGGTTCATTCACTTTCCTTTGCTCTTTCCTTCAGTGTTACATAGAGAGGCCTTTCCTAATAACCTGTATAAAACAGTAACATCCTTCCCATCCCCCTCTTCTTTTCTCCATTGCATCTCTTGTAAGAGTATATAGGTTCTTCCATGTTTGCCATCTGTTTCCTCCCACTAAAATGCAAGCCTCAAAGGACTTCATTTGTCCCAAGTACAAAGAACAGTGACAGGCAGGCACTTAGGTACTCAATACATTTTTTTAAAAAGATGAAGCACATGAACTAGTAGATGGAATAGCAGTTATGTTGTTGGACTCCCACATAGTGGACCACAGTTTGAGTCCCAGACCTGATGTCTTCAAAATCATGTCAGGCATGTGTGCATGGATGCCCAAGATCCTGGAAGGAGAAGGGATTATGGCATCCCTCCCGGGGGTGATTTCTCACTTTCCCTCTCACTGTGTATCTCTCTCTGCAACCTCTGGAAAAAAAAAAAAAAGATGAAGCAGGGCCAGCAGGTGGCATGGTGGTTAAAGTGCTGGGACTCCCACATGGTTGACCTTGGTTTTTAGTCCTGCACATGTAGGCTTGCTTTCTCACCTCCCCTCTCTGTCTCTCTCTTTGGAGTGCACATGTCCTGTAGCAACTAAAAATAATAATCATAATAAAAATTATTTCTTTAAAAAAAAAGATGAAGCAATAAAGGAATGCAAGACAAAGCTAGGCATACCTTTCATGTGGTCCCACACCCAGTATAAATGAGCACTATTATCTCTTAACTTGCAACACTCCTAAAAACTCCTGGAAGGAGAGTTCCTGTCATTTCTCTGATTCTTCAATAAGTTGTATGGCAGGCACTCAGTAATTGCTAATGGAAAATGAAGAATTGGTATCTGTTGAGTAAATGGTACCCCTGAATAATATTCACTGGCAAATTAATCAAGTTTTGAAAGTCTTCATTTATATTTATGTTTATAAATATAAATAGTTGCTGTTTTGTTGCCAGAGGACTTTTAGGCTTGTGAGAGCAACAGGGAGAGAAAGTGGCCCCAGTGGAGTGTGAGCATGGCAATCCCTTCTCCATTTCTCCATCCTGTAGAGACTTTGGACAGGTACACTAAAGTCCCCATGGCCTTTTCAAGACTGGGATTCAAACCTCAGCTGATCACAAGGCAGCTACTAAATGCCTTGATTTATTTAAATTTACCCAAGATCTTGGGCACTCTCCAGAGAAAGACAAAGGGAAAGTGAGAAGCACCCACTATGGGAAGAAGTTACTCCACAACTCCCTACAATCCCTTCTCCTACATTTCTGCCTTTTCCCGGGATTTAGGGTATGCATGCAAAGCACCTCGCATGTTGCTCAAACTGCTGGGCCTAGTACTCCAACTGTGGTACTTAGCAATATGGCATCCAGCTCAAGTAACCACCAACCAACAGCTGCCAGTTGTTGGCCCTCGAATGCCTTGTTTTAAAGACTTTATTTACAGTGTTTCATGACTAATAGTTTTGTTTTTTTAGGTTCTTGACATAGGGCCCATGCCCTCACCAGGGAGAGAGCAAGACAGAAGAAAGTGAGAAATCACTAGTTTAGAGATACATGGGGGAAGATGGCCACACCTGCAATCCCTTCTCCTCTTGGGAGTGTCCTACACAAAGCACAGACACCCTGTGTGATTTTCGGGCTGCCTGGTCCAGGACTCAAAAGGTAGTCAGCCTGTGGCAGTCCAGCACCTTAACCACCCCTGCTCGTCTCTGTGTTTTTTTAAAATGTTCTTGTCACGTGAATTTGTAGTAGTGTATATTTCAGCTATCAAACAGCGATACCCTAATTAAATATTAACTAATCTAAAATATGAGCTCCCAAAATAGAGACAGTGGCAAGTGACAATGTGTTTGACTCTTCAGTCCAGCAGACCAGGACTATCTCTCTGTCCTAATTTTGGACTGCTGTTGCATTAGTCACTGCTAATAGAGGGTTATTCCTAGGCCCAGGCATGATGTTCATCCCAATTCCACCAACCTACAGTAAATCTCCCCATTAGATTCACTTTGAGATAGGAACAGTGGGACAAAAGGGCTAAGGAGCTTGCTCACAGTTAACAGAACTCTGACCTTGACCTCGGCGTGAAACTGCCTGGGCTAACGTCGAGCTGGTGACAATGAGATCCTATTGTCACCTATTGATCCTATTGGGCAAATGATGCAAAGAAGGATCCCGCGTGTTTGATGAAAGTCCGCTGGAAGGCAGGCAGGCTTGGAATAGAACGAGTTAATTATCTTAAATTAATTTTTTTGTCCTGATACAATGTGCACTTAACCTCACATAATTTTAGAATATCAAAGTACCGGCTCACGCAGCTCAGAAGCGGCCGCAAAGGCCGTTCAAGCCTTCCCGGGGGCAGGGCCGCGCGAGGGGCGGAGCCACCGGCAGGGGCCGGCCCCACGGCATCACGGGAGCTCGCGGTGCGCCGGTTCGCTGCTTGCCTTACACACACCGGCACCTGTGCGGCCTTCCGAGGCGCTCTTCTGGAGGAGGGACTCCAGAGGATTGCAGGGATTTTGCTTCCACCAGCTACCTCACAAAAGGAAGGTCGAAGTTCTCCTGGTAAATGCGGCGCTTCCCGTAAGTGAGATAAGAGACTTCGAGCCACCCGGACCAGCCCGGAACCACATATCAGGGCCCTGCGTTTCCTAATTGACCCCCTTTGCGTCCACTTCCGCCCAGGGGTCTGGAACTCCCAAGGTACTTAGAAGACCAAGAACGGGAAAGGTACTTCCGGTGTCTGTTGCCAAGGCGCGGGGCCCAGTGGGCCGAAGGGGCGACATTACTGGTGTCGTCCTCTCCCTCCCCGGGGGTCGAGATGTCGGGGCTCAGCCACACAGAGATGGAGGGCTGTCGTAACCTGCTCGGCCTGCTGGACAACGAAGAGATCATGGCCCTGTGCGACACCGTCACCAACCGCCTGGTTCAGCCTGAGGATCGCCAAGGTAAGGCAGACCCACCTCCCCGAGGGTCTGGCCTTCCGTTGATCTCACGCTGACATCGGGTCGCGGGAGCAGGGGAGTATTGGGGTTTCCACCCTCGGCTGCAGTTCGTCCCCCACCGCGTTTGGGCGGAATCCTTGCGAATCCCAGCCGCCGCCCCCGCTCCGAGGCCCTGGAAGCTGGACGCGGACTGGGGCCCCAGAGTCAGGTCGTGGTGCAGACGATGGCGCAGCTTCCAAGTTTTACTCATCGAATGCTATGGGCAAAAGCTTGTGGGTTCAAGGATTCCGAGTACGTCGTTTTTCAAAATTTCTAGAGAACCAGAGTGTTTGCCACTTTCAGTTTCGATCACCTGACTTGGGTCAGCTGCTCCCCAGTGTTTTTTCTTCGAGCTTGAAAGGAAGAATATATCATAAACTTTGTATTAGCCTCTTGTGTAAAACATTTGCTGTAAAAAATCAGATAGTTTGAATCCTTTTGGAACAAATATTTTTCTGAAGCGATTTTTTGTACTAGGAATGAATGACTTTTAGAGACATTAAATATGCATTTTGATGGAGTAGATTTCAAGGGCTATTATTATTAATCAGATTGTAACCAGTCCATATAAAAATGTAAAGCGTTTGATATCTCTTTCTGTGTCTCACATAGCTAGTTTTATTTTAAATTTCCTAGATATTACTTTACAATGTAAAATATCCACAATTTTATATTGGTATGTGACTTAAATTTTATCCAAAAATTCTACCTTTTAAGATTATATTTTTCTGGTTTTTTTTTTTAAATCAGGTTTAAGTTTTACTATTTAAGAAAATTAGTTATTTGTAACTTTCAAACATGAACATTCAGAGAAGAAAGTCCTGAGAATTTTAAGTAAAAAATAGTTTTAGACTTATGTAGTTTTTTTAGCATTTATGTATCTTGCATGCCAATTTTACAATCAGGGGAATTGTGAATTTGAAAATGTAATAGATAAAATGCTGGATTTAATTGATAATGAATCTAAAAGCAAATAGGGGAAAAAAAAAGCATACCAATACAAAAAGTTTTAAGTGATTTGATAGAATATTTCTCAGGAAAAAATACAATAAGTATATGAAAAATATTAAGCTCTTTAGAAAGCAGTGAAATGAAAACCAGAAACACAGGTGTATATTTTTAACATGTTCTACTTTTCTCTTTTTACATTTTTCTGTCAAATGTTTCCTCCCCTTGCAATTCATACCCTCTTACCCTCCATCACCCACTCTCTACCATCCACTTTTTCCCCTTACAGTCTCAAGCATTTACACTCATGTTCTCCATCCCATTTTCAAGTCTCTCAGCCTCTGCCATACCACTCAGAATAATTTGGATGGGGATATACAGTGCATGTCTTTCCAAAGCTGGCTGGTTGCACATTAAGTCTCAAATAATAGGATCTCATTGTTTCTTATAGCTATGTAATATTCATAGTATAATGTGCCTCGGTTTTCAACCCAGTCATCAGTTTTGGGGCACTAAGGTTGACTTTGCAGATGTCTTTTCTATGTACTAGATTGCCAATTACAAATACAAACTTGAAGTTTGGTGATCAAGTAAAGCAACACTTTGACAAATAATGGAAGAATGTAAACTACAATTTACCACTTTGGAAAATAAGTTTTACATCATCTCCTAAATTGGTAGGTTAGACACATCTCACAGGAATCTTGTTAATATACAGATTGAGATTTTATACCTTTGGAGGGAGGCCCCAAAATTCTGCATTTCTAGCAAGCTCCCAGGTGATGTTCATTCTGTTTGCCCTTTTGTGCACTGGGAGGTTGTATGAGGATGTTTAAAGTAGAAGTGCTTGTAATAAGGTATACAATTATAGTCTGTAAACAGAAACATGAGTCTTAATATAATCATGTAATTAACTAGTGATACCAAGGTGAAAATTAATTAACTACAGTTACAGGTATCCACAGAACTTAATCTAAGAAGCAATATCAATTGAAAAACTGTAGAAGACTGTAAATATTGATGGATTGAATTTATAGACTATTTTAAAAATACCAAAATAAGCATATCTCTTAGAGTTATGTACTTAGGCTGGACAATTGTTAAAAAAAAAAGGGCAAGGAATGTTAACATTGAGTATAGTAGCTACCCTATGAGGTGGGCGAGAAGAAGAAATAGTATTGGCTGAGGAGCGATGAAGTGGTGGCTTCAAAGATACTAGTAAGTAGAAACTGTCTTAGGTTCTAAAACTAAAAGATGTGTATGTGGGAATTTTGGATTGCCATTCTATATTCTTTACACATGTTCAAGGTATTCCTTGGTGTGTGTTTGATACAAAACTAAAACATTTTTAAAAATACTTAGTTCTGCCACTTCCTAGAAATATGATTATTGAAACTTCATGTTTTCTCAACTTTGATTTTCTATAGAGTGGAGAGATTGCACTAAAATTCCTTGGCATGTAATCTTTTTGTAATTTTACTTTTTTTCAGAGGTATATAAATTTAGGTACATTAGTCTTTAAAAAATAATTTTTTTGGCTCAAATTTTTTCTTAAAACCCACTTCTTTGAGAGAAAATATATAATTTCTCTATTACTTACAGGAAATGAAAGGCAGGAGAAGTTTTAGATAGGGAAGTTGAAAGAGCAAAAATAATTTCAAAGAGGACAAAAACCCCTTAACAACCTATTTTCTGTTTTTCAAAAAATGATAACCATTTCATGCAAATGCAGTAAATGACAAGAGTTTATAAATACTAAATGATAGAGTTTCTCCTGAGCTCAGACAAATTCACAGATGCTTTATAATTTTCTATTTATCTTGGCAATTTCCTTCTAGATGCCATTCGTGCAATATTAGTGTACAGTCAAAGTATAGAAGAACTTCTGAGGCGTAAAAAAGTCCACCGAGAAGTCATATTTAAGTACTTGGCAGCAGAGGGGGTTGTCATACCTCCAGCTACTGAAAAGCACAATCTTATCCAGCATGCAAAAGATTACTGGGAAAAGCAATCACAACTGAAATGGAAGGGAACACCACAGCCAATTAAAAAGACAGAAGACATCGAACTCTTTCAACAGGTAGAGTGAACTTACAGTTGTAGTCTGAACCTTTGTTCTAAGTGAGACTCTATAGACAATCATAGATATGGGAAACCATAGTAATATTTTACTTGTATTTTGCAATTGGACCTTTGCTACATATTTTTTGAACCCTAAAGGAAGAAAGACCAACAAAGCAACCAAAAGACAAAATATTTCTGACATTTAGTGTATTAGGTCATTGTGAAAGTCTTGACATTTTTCTGTTTTTCTATGCAAAACTGCATCATGAGTTTCCTTCCCAGTTACACTAGATATACATATGCAGATATATAATATTCTTTTTACTTGTGAGAAGAACAGTGTCTTTCTCCACTTACCATCAAATGATTTTTAGAGAGTAAATTGTGATATTAATTTAATTTTACTTTATTTTGGACTCTAGTCTAAATTTTTTCCCACTTTCAAAGAATGCTGTTGTAAATTCTTTCTCATTATTAAGATTTTTTTTGCTATTGTTTTGAAAATTGATGAAAGAAATGTAAATAGTTTTTATGTTTTGTTTGTTTGTTTGTTTGTTTTTGCTAAAGGATGCATGTACTAACCAGAGAGAGACCACCCCCCCACCCTTCCAATGAAGAGTGGTCACACTACAGTCCCTTCTCCATTTCTCCTTCCGATCAGAATTTGGGGCATGTATGCACACACCGCCAATGGGTTGTTCAAGTCACCTGGGGCCAGGATTCAAACCACAGTTGGCCATATGGGATGGCTCCCCTAATTACTAGGCTACAGGTGCAGCCCACCTTTGATTTTTTTTTTTTTTTAACTAGAAAAGATTATTTTGTAGTAATTTTTTGTCCGACATTGAATATTCCTATTTTCTTTTATATCTTCACAGTACTTTTTTTTTTTTAAAGAGAGATTTTTGCTATATGGCATGTGCACTTGTCAGACAGAAACTGAGAAATCACCCCCTGTGGGGATGGCCACACCATAATCCCTTCTTTTCCATTATCCTCTCAGGACTTTGGGCAGGCATGCACACATGCCCAGTGTGAGTTTTAAGCCACTAGGTCCAGGACTCAAACTGTTGTTGACATAACTATTATGCCATCTGCTGGTCCCTTCATAGTACATTTTAACATTTTGTAAATATTTCAGTGTTGATTGAATAGACTTCTAGGTAATCTGCACATTTTTAAACTTTATGCACTTTGGATATAAATTATTATTATTTTTTTTTAAGGTTTTTGCCATTAGTCATGTGTGCTCGCCAGAGAGACAGGGAGAGGGAAAGTGAGAAATCACCGTGTGGGTGGGGGGATGTGTGTGGTCACACCACAGTCCCTCCTCCTCCATTCTTCTGGGATTTGGGGAATGCACGCATGCGCACACACACACACACACACACACACACACACACACACACAGCTGGTGTGATTTTCAGGCTGCCAGGTCTGGACTCAAACCATGGTTGACAAGTGGGAGTCTAGTGCCTTAATCACCAGGCCACCTGCAGTCTCTTGGATTAATGAGGTTTTACAGCAAGAGCTTTGCTTTCCCGTCCTATTAAGAAAGGATCATCTAAGGGCTTTCTTATTAAATGTGCTGAGAAAATAATTGATTTTGTAATCATATAGATAAAACTTCACATTAGGGTTTGCTATTATACATTAGATGTGTGAACCTGGACAAGTAACTTGACTTATCTGAGCCTTGTTTTCTTCTTACATATGTGGTCATAACAATAAGATCTATGTTATAAAGATAGGAAATAGCCCTTAAGTGCCATATACCGTACCCAATGTTTTCAGTAATAATAGATGCTTAGTAACCATAGGACCTGATTCAGTCAGTTTCTATAGTCTAGAACACATAGATAAATGAGATGAAGCCTTTCAGATGTATTTTCTTTCAGTAACATTTCCCTCAAGAAAAAAAATAGTAGTATAAAATTAATTCCTATCATGGTAAATAGCCTGTTTCAGTCACCAGTGAAAATACTTATCAATTTTATTGTGATATAATTTATATGTAACTAATTTAAAGCATAAAATTGAAGATTTTTGACAGATATACACCTGAGAAAACACTGCTGCAGTAAAGAAAATACTTATATAAATCATCATTTTGAATGTTCATGCTAATATGTAAATTTAATTTTTTTTTTTTTTTTTTTTTTTTTTTTTTTT